GAGAAATAGGAAGAAAAGCCACACCGTGCTCCTGCTCCGCAGCACAGCAGCCAGCTAAATTCCTCGAATGTCTAGAATTCCTCTTCGGAGGAAGATAAGAACTTCAGCAATGTATAAAGAGCAGTTACAGAGCACAAGAATCAAGTTTTATTTGCAATCCCTGGTGTGAGCGTGCCGGGGCAGGGCAGCCCGAAGAAAAGCCACACCGTGCTCCTGCTCCGCAGCACAGCAGCCAGCTAAATTCCTCGAATGTCTAGAATTCCTCTTCGGAGGAAGATAAGAACTTCAGCAATGTATAAAGAGCAGTTACAGAGCACAAGAATCAAGTTTTATTTGCAATCCCTGGTGTGAGCGTGCCGGGGCAGGGCAGCCCAGCAGCCAACCACGCAGAGGTACGCAGCCCCCACCCCAGCGAAGAGGTGCGGGAGCCGTAGGGAACTGCGGAGCCCAGCGAGGCAGCCGGGGAGCGCAGGACACCTCTCTGCTGCAGCCTGGCCACTCACCTCCCATGCCAGGACGGGGAGAAGAGCCGGGCTGTGGGGCTGCTGCCCTGCAGCACCCGCTTGCAAACGAAGCCAACGTGTGTCCAAGACCTTTTGTCGTGCGATCGTTGCCTTCCCGTGGGTTCTGACGCCCATTTCTCTGCATGGTCCTGCTGGAAAGGGAAGAAAACCTTTGTTGTTTGGAGCTCCTCAGGTGATGTGAGTCGTGCTCCCCGTTCTGCCTTGCCATCCTTCTTTCAGACAGCCTAACACCCATCAGGAGATGGCCTCCGGCGTGCGGAAGGTGTTCACGTTCAGTTAAAACTCGACGTTTGGCTCAGCTGAGCTTGTTATCCGGGGCAATGGCCAGAGATCTGAAATAGTCTCGGGTGTTTCGGTTCTTGTGAAAACAGCCGTTTCCCGGCTGTGTCCTGGGTTGAAAGGGGCTGGGGAGGAGAGATGCCGCGCTGCCGGCTCTCCCTGAGCCAGCCAGCCTCCTGCTCCTTCACTAAAGCTTATCTGAAAAGGCCCAAATCGGAGAACTGTGTGCTTTGCACAGCCCCGTTCAGTGCGATGAACTAATGTCCCTGGCAGGGGATGGTATTTTCCCCGCTGACTGCGTAAATCCGTGTTTTTCTTGGGCTGCAGCGTGCGGCGTGGCAGATCTGCGAAGACCCCACGCAAATCAATAGGAGCGTTTTCTGGGTGGCCCTGGCAATTCCCTTTGTGTTTGCAGTGAGTAATTTGGTTGCTGTTGTTTAAGACCAACATTTGTCTAAGTGTGAAATCACAATCTGTTTTAAACTTAAATAATGGGGTTTAAAATACATTCAATTATACAGCGTTATTGATTGCCTCAAAAGGAGTATCCGCCAGCTTTTCCCATACTTGAAGCTGCAAGTTTACTTTCTGTAGGTTTCTTTGATCAAGTCAGACATTCAGTTTACTTTGCAGATGCATGATCCTTGCTTCCCTGGCTTGTCACTGGCAGAATAAGGTCACGTTTACCTGGGTATGTTTGTGCGAGCCAAACCAGTCCTGTTGTCGCTGCGGTTTTGGAAATGTTCATATTAACATTCATATTAAATATTTGTGTTAGTGCTTCTCACAGGGGGCTGGATTCAGAGCCTCTATTCTTTCTTTAAAAACAAGAGAAAAAATAAAAATGAAGTGGTCCCCAGCCACTAACTCCTGCTCTGATGGGGGATCCAGTTGGAGAGGAGGAAGTCCTCAGCACTGCAGCATGTTAGCAGGGACCATCGAAATGTGGATCATTAAAAAAACCAAACAAACCGAGAGAGTGCTGGAGGTAACAAAGGTGGTTCAGCTGGTGGGAGATGTGCTGGACAGGACTGTTGAAGAGGCAAAAAAAAAAATCTCAGACCAGTCTTCTGCCTCCTACAGACTAATATATAATTCATACATTAGCTGCTACTGATGAGAGAGAGATGCATCCTGCTTAGCACGTTTGCCCCGGCAGGTTGTTTGTCCGCAGGAGCCGTATGGAAAAGGACCCTCGTTGCACCCGTTGTGCATCCCTCTGTGATTTCGGGTTACGAGCTGTTAACTGTGCAGCGGTTCACCTCATATATGAGTTTGTTTTTTCTCATTATTGGCCTAGGACCTGGACCACGTGCAGATGCACCTGGAAGAAGTGAGGTTCTTTGATTTATTCGGCTACAGCGAGGAAGCGGGAACTTGGCAGTGCTTCATGTGCAATAACCCTGAAAAGGCAACAGGTAAGCGGGCTGCCTTCCTCGCTGGTGGGCTGCGCGTTGCGGTCGAGTTGGGGCGGGTGGAAGATGGAGCTAAGCTCACAGATAACGCCGTGTCTCTGGTGATGGTGGCAGAGGTTGGGGAAAAGGGAAAGCAAACTTTCCAGCGTAGCACAGGCAGTGTCTATTTTAAATTGAATTCTCTGTTAAACTCCTCTTGTCTCGGCGTCTCTCATGAGACAAAGAGTCAAGCACAAACCTTATTTGGTGTGTGCTTAGAGGGATGCAACCCAAAATTAACATAAGCTCATAAATCTGCATAACCAGTAACCCCTGGGGGGTGGGAGGGATCTGCACCCATCTCAGTGTCCAGATAGGAGTGTTCCATCTCTTGGATCACATCCCAGCTCTGCATAGCTGCCACATGTCAAGGCACATTGGCATAGATACTGCACCCAATTCAGGTCGTCTTCGTTCTCAGGATTATTTGCTGTAATATAATCACTTCAATATAATATAATTAACATAGTTGTTATAATAATCCATGGTATGCATCTTCTTAGAAACAACGCAGTGCTTAAGAACAATCATAATACTTCAGCTATATTAGAAAACAGGGTGAGTGGAAAATACACTTTTTCCCAGGTAAAAGATCCTGGTGGACTTTTTTTTTTGAAGCTTTGTTACCCGTGTGTTTTAGATCAGTGCACTGAAATTTAGAGGAATGGCTTTTTTTTTAGGGGTTGTTTTTTTTTTTTTTTTGCTACTCTGTAAAAGTCTGCACAATTCTGGCCAAGAATTTTGAATATTTTGGCCAAGCCTTTGAATAATTGGCTGTTTCAGCTATTTATTTTAACAGCTAGCATCTCTTTATATTTTATCAGCTCTGAATTTAGTAAGTCTTGCAAGAGTGGCACAGCCTCTCCTGCAGGCCGGGCTGCCCGTGCTCGTTTCATGGGTGTTCGACCATCTTCCTCCTTCCACAACTCTTGTGGAACTCAAGAACCATAAAAGAAATCATGCTTTGAGCTGAAATTTCATCTCAGTACCGTGGTCTTACTGTGGTTTGTCCATCACATCAGTGGTAGATGTACATCAAGCTACAAGGAAAACAAGTCTGTCTCGCTTAAAATTTCAAAGCTTAATGAAGTAGCTTTGTTTTGAATTTTCAGAGACATTTAACTTGTCCAAAAAGGGGAATGTTTGTAGCAAGCTATCGATTATGCTGTTAGGGCAGCTGTATTAGAGCCAACAGACCAGATGAAGGTGGCAAAGGCAATCCTTGGGGGTGACATGAGGCACCATTTCCTTATCGATGTCATGGGTTTTGCTGATGACACTAGTCTGGAGACGTCAAAGCTGACACCTTGTTGCTTCCCTGTTGCTCTCCGGCCAAAGTGCCGCATCCTCCAAGGAGAGGTCTAAGAAGGGCTGGAAGTGGGACGTGGTGTGGCACAGCACCGTGGCTCTGCTGCCAGGAGCGCGGTGTTGGGACTGGGACCCAGATCCCACCAGTATGACCAGTATAGAACTGGTATTTTCAAATGGATCAGAACAAAAGGCAGATGGCAATAAAAGCCTGTGACAGCGGGCACCGATTAGAATCATAGAATGGTCTGTGTGGGCAGGGACCTCCCAGCCCACCCAGTGCCACCCCTGCCATGGGCAGGGACACCCTCCACTAGCCCCGGTTGCCCAAAGACCCCTCCA